CTTTTTCACTGAATTCAGGGTAGATTTTATCACAAACCGAGGTGGAATCATTGAAAACTGATGTGCTCCTTGAGACTCATCATAAGTGTGCATCTATGACACTACTTGGGATAGAACGTACAATCTTCAGGTTAACAGGTAAGCTGATTGACTATTCAATCACTGATTTGGATCCCTAACTTATGTCTGTTCGCTGTGGTGGTTAGTTTCTTCTTCTCAATATGTAAAGGACATCGCCATGTACATCAGTGATGTGTCGTTTAACCTAGTAAGTACATTGCACAGCTAATTTTTTAGATTTCGATTTACACATCTGCCATAAGACTGAAACATTGGGTATCATCTAATAACTGTGAAAAAGCACAAAAGGGACCTGTTTCCTTAAAATCGTTAGTGTCATATCTTTATATCATTATCTGCTAACTCACCTCTCACTGATATTCAGATTGATTGTAATGAATATCCGAACAATTAAAGAGACAACTAAGTGGTTTTATACGGTTCAGATACTTGATATATCTAGAGAAGCATTTCCAATAGGCTTCAGACACTCGCTGACACCTGCCTTCAGTCTATACTGAAGTTTAGGAAGTCAGAAAGAATAAGCAACATGAAACTCTGACCAACCAAGAGCCTACTTCCCCACAAATATGTAGCGGGAAATGGAGATGGATTGTACGAATGCTGAAAGAACCTTCAAGTAACATCGTACTCCAGGTAGTCGAATGGCACCTGAGTGGGAAAGAAAGAGTTGTATATCCTAGAGTGCCATTATTGAACATCAGGTCAACACCTCCCACAACACTTCAACTGATTCTTTCAAAGTGATATACAAAATGGCAATATGTTGCTAAAGTTCTCTGTCCCACTGGGAACCCAAGGGGCGAGTAATAATAATGTGATAAAATACCGAATTAAAATGAATTTACAAGTTTTTTATGTATTAACTAAGTGGAGTTAAGCAAATAATTTACCTTAGTTTACGACTTGTCATCATTGAGTATTGAGGAATCTAAAACCGTAAAGCCTATGAATGTTCGTAAGAGGACATGACGTTCAGTAGTTATTTTTTACGTCCAATAAAATCAATCAGAGCGAAATCTAAAGTGATATCTTCAAACAAATAACAACTGATACTCCTTGTACAAGAAATACTTGTCATAGCTAAGTGACCTAGTGTGTAAATAAACCTTAGATATTTGAAAAGATGAGAAATGGATTCGAGTTTCGTCAGGAATATTATTACCCACTAACGATCCAGGAAATTAAAATGACGAGTCTCAGGCAGGACGTCACGCGAGTCGTGAATTCCACTCCTAGCTATCTTCAACAGAATGACATCAGAAAAATAAGGTCATTAGCACTATTGATATTGGGTATAAAACGAGTTTTCATTTTTAACGCTGAACTATCCAGAATACTTGCGAATTCCAGAGAAGATATGTACCTTGATTTGATGGCTTTTGATTAATTACGTTCCTAGGTTTCGCCAACCAGTAGTGTCTCCAGCGCATTCATAAACCTCATTCAACCAGTAGTAAGCCTAGTAAAGAAGAAAGGTTGGGCTTGAGGCTAGTAACCCCACCCTGTGCAAAAAATACCACCTCTCCTGAAATTTCAGAGTTCAAGCTAGAAGCCCCTATTCCACTTGGAACCGAAAGGAATGAAAGCGATTCCTTTGGTTTGGATGGTTTAATTGAGAAGCTTTCACTGACTTTCCAAACATTATATTGAAGTTAGCAGTGAAGAAATTGTCTTGAAGGACAATGGAAGCTTCGTAACTAGGAAACCATCAAGCACACAGAACACAACCTTACCGAAATCTTTACTAGTTTTATACCGTGCCGAGTTGGAATCTCTTTAAAAATATTAAAGTATCATTAGTGGTACCGATGCATTGAGTTGACTGGTCGTTTAGTGGGAAAAATTATACAGTAGTCCAGCATAACTACCTGATGATTAGCCCCTGGCCGTTGAATATTCGACATTTCACAGCTCAGTCTCTGCATCTTTTAAAAGATCAGTCAGGTTCAATGTGAATATTGTCAGTCTACAGAGGCGGGAAAAAACAACCATTCTAGTCCAACCCAACCCTTACCCCTTTAATGGCATTAAAATCATCATAAAACCCGACAGTTATGATTACAGTATATTAACACTAAGCGGTGGTGGCTTTATATCATCACTGAAAGTTTCTACAAAATGATGAATCACTTCTACTTTACTGAATGATTTTTTAGTTTCCGCTCTTCCTCACATATGACCTCTTTGAGATCATTTGGCTGCCCACAATCCATAAGTGTGCAGACACCAGTGAATCTGAACAGGTCAGTGGTAAGACTTCTGTCTGCTGCACCTCCACAGGGTATTGGTCACTTCCTTAGGGGCCGGAGGTTAACCATGTTGATGAGTGGCAGTGAAGACGAAAACTAAGTTCAGGACTTCCAGTTGATTTCCTAACATTTATTCAAAGAGCGCACAAGGGTGGGAAGTCTTCTAGACTGGTGAAGTTTAGTCGACACCATCACTAAAGCCTAGACAGATGACACTGATCAAGAAACATGTCCCATAATCTGAACGTCCTAGGTAGGTTCTCTTATGGGTTCTTGGGTGTGTACTGGTAAAGGGTTTCACACTGGGATAAAACAACTGTACTGTGATTCGTTAAATGATGTCAATTCGTGATATAATCTAGCTTAAAATAAATTAGATCCCAAAAAACCAACACTTGAAAAGAGATTTGTATTTTCAGTGTAATATGTAGAAATCTAGGTCCGTAATAATTCCGAAGAATCTTTTAACTCTCTATTCACATTTATGTAAAAAAAAATTGTAATAAACGCCTTATCAACAACTATCAACGACCTCCATCTCTACAAGAGATACATCGATGATACTTTCATTATTTGTGATGAGAACTGTGATTTAAAAAACCTACTTCAAATTTTCAATAATGCCCACCCAAACATCGACTTCACACTTGAGACTGAATCCGACGGAATGTTCCACTTCCTCGACGTCCATCTGACAAGAAACGCCGACAACTCCCTGAAAAGGTCCATATACAAAAAGCCTACATGGAATGGACAATTCATCAACTTTCAAAGCTTCGTGCCCCTGAGCAGAAAGAGGAACCTGATATACGCTCTTTCCTCGAGGATTCGGAAGATATGCAGCGAGGAAGTGGTTGAAGAAGAACTGCGTAATCTTCGAAAAACCCTGATGGAAAACGGTTTCCCGCCCAGGTTCATAGAAAAGAATCTCAAACCTAAGAAGACTTCTGAACAAGTCCAATCCGTCCCAAAGAAAATGCTTCTGCTTAATCTAGAATTCAAAGGTGATATTGAAGCAGAAATCCTTCGCAGACGCCTCTCAAAATCGCTGAGGAAAACATACTTCGCCGCTAGCCTACGACTGACGTTTTCCTGCAAGAAACTGTTCAGCCAGAACGCGAAAGACAAGCTGTCGCATTGGGCCACCTCAACGTGCATATACCAGTTTACTTGCTCTTGTGGAGCTGAGTACGTTGGCCGTACCATGCGCCGACTTGAAAAACGCGCTCGTGAACACTATCCAGCCTGGCTAGTAAAAGGAGAACGAAAACGGGTAAATAGTTCGGTGACAGAACACCTGGTGAATTCAGGACATTCAGCGCCACTCGAAAAATCCTTCAAAATCATTTACAAGATTCGATCAAACCCATCAAAGGGAGTAAAATCAAGACATCTGGGCATAGCCGAGGCGCTAGCTATACAAAAGCTCAAACCCACGCTTTGTATACAAAAGAAATACGTCCAACCCCTGTCCTTGCCATGGCCATCATAAACAGGTAATTTTTAGTAATCACCATCCCATCGCCTTTCTTATCTAAACTTCCTGTTTATTCATGTTATTTCAAGTTTTTCTTAATCCCTGTTTACACTACCATATTTTCATACCCGAACTTAGTGTTTATTTTGTCATTTTACTATTTCTACATATTTAATCCCTGATTGCATAAACAATTATTCATCACATTAGTTTTTATCCAAACATCCTGTCTATTTTGTTATTTCTACATTTCTAACCCCTAATTGCACAATGTCAGTCTTCTTAGTTATTTTAATGCTACTTTGTTTGTTTTATCCATCCCCCTGTTTATTATGGCATTCTAATTCCCAATTTTAATTTTTATTAATTTGACCCTTGACCGGATATTATTCTGGAACTTTCCCATCCATTTGATATAAATACACGAATGTACAGCCTAGATGATGACTTCGTCGAAAAGAAAATTGGGCTAAGTAACACTTTTGTAGTAATTGATTCTACATCAATTGTGCAAACAAAAGTTAATATTTAGGCTGACAGATAACTGTCGTTCAGTATTCTCATATCATTTCAATGGATATTAACACCACTACTTTAAGTTCTCATGAAAAGTCATCACTTGATGACACTATCAGTTGGCTAAATCAATGTATCAATGAGAATAGATTACTTCAACTCACTTTTATTAAACATGATTGATTTTAAGTTAGGTTGCAAACTGAATTCATTTAAAACACTAGTGAAAACCAGGAAGTACTGGACATCTGTTTCGTCCTGGTCTGGGACCCATCACAGCATGCAGCCATGACCCCACCCGGGATCAAACCTGGATCCTTCACATCAAGAAGCAGGCCTGGAATCCCACTTAGAGGTCATGACCACTGGGACCCACCAAGCTGAGTATGAGGACAAATACTGGTCGATAACATTTCATCTCAGCAAGCTCACCTCTTTACCCGAAAGTACCAGTCAAGGACTGAGACTTTGTCAAATACTTCTTGATTTTCAGTGGTTCACTCACTACAGTGAATTCGTGTTTCAACCTGAAATCAATCAAATCCCTGAAACCAAAAACGCCTGACAATCGACTTTGTCTTAGTTTCACAATAATTCTCTATCGTAACATGATTACTAATCACTAGTAAGGTTAAAAGTTTGGAGAATTCTTCAGAAGACTATAGTTCACTTACTTTTACATGTTTTCTTTTTTCTTCCCTTCATATACATTACACTACCATCTTCCTCCCTTTCCTCCTGCTCTTCATGATGAGCATCATCGTCATCCATACCAGTGAGAGTAGGAACAGTTGAATCAGGCTGTATGTCAACTTGATTTGAATCAGTCATTTTGAAATTGTTATTGTTATTATTAAATAAAATTGAATCATTTAATGGGTGATATTTGATTGATTGAGATAATTGTGTTCTACTGTATTCATTAAAACCATTAAAATTATTCATTGGGCACGAATCGACAATATTTGGTGAAACAGGTGAATAATAACTGTTTGAATTCATTGAATATTGATGAGTATTTCCTGAGTGATTTAATGTATAGTGTTGTAATGTACTAGAATTATGCTTATTTGATGAGTCATAGAAGTCAGGATTACACTCAGGCAATAAATGGTTATCACTGCTGACCACACTACTGTAAGGAATTAGATTTTTTTGTATGTTGTACATCCCTGACCAGGTGTAATGTCAAAACGCTGACTATTTTAAACAAAAAGTATTTCATTTATATATATGACTTTTAACGCTAATGTCATTTTCCTCTCTGCTATAGTCCGCTCAGTCATCTAGCAAATTTCTATCTCGCGCATAGTAATCTGATTGGTTCTTTGTGGTGTGATGAGATTTGCATTAGCCAATCAAAACCTTCTATGGAGACAATAACTCAGAGGTTTTTTGTGTAACGAATATTTTTGCTCGATATTTACACCCCCCTATTTTGTTTGAATTAAAAGTCAGTCTGAACGGAGAATATTCTTCTCAATAATTTCTCTTCACGTTATATATGTCCAAACCAAGTTCACTTTTAACGGTTTGAAAAAATTTGAGCATTGGGTATATGATATTCATTATAATAAAGGTTTTTTTGTATTTCCTAATGAATGAAAGGTTATGAAAGCTGTCAGGTGAGTGGCGAGTACTGACTTGTCAATTTTCTTAGCCCACACTCTTCAAATCTATTATGACTAATCACCACCATTGTCTCCCATTTTACTACATTTTGTAGCCTATTTCAGCCCAGGGCACGTTTGTCACATAAATACGACTATTTATTTTGACACCCCATAACTAATCTGTTATTCTACGTTAAAAATGTATCCACCGCATAATTGGCAATATTGTAACGACAATAAATACTATATTTTATGATTGTAAGAACCTGAAGAGAAATTATTGAAAAGAATATTCTTCGTTCAGATTGACTTTTAATTCATGATATGGGAATATTTCACACCATCAAATCTTATTTTGTTTGAGGTAGAATTTCATTTCGATTTTTCTTTTCCACATTCAAGGGATGGTGGTTTGCTCATCAACTACTTTTGATCCCTTCATTTGAGGAGAGCAGATCAATAAAAATTGAGTATTGCTGAATGAATTGCTGAAATAAAGTTTCATAGAGTTAGATGCTTTTCATTGAAAATAACTTGGCAGAAAGGTGAGTGATAATGTTATATAGGTTTCATAATCATTTAAAATGCAGTCACCATGTACACAAAGAATTAGACTTTATGATACGTTACTTACAAATGGTCAATCGATAAATCCATTAGAGTGTTACAGCAAGCCCTATGTTCCATTCGGAACCCAAGAGAATAATGAAAAAAATTCTACATCTGGTCAACCGTGAATCATCATAGGAATGTCTCTGACTATAGTACTGGATGAAGTGGGGAATTAGTATACATAAAGATGTATCTGTCAGTTCCTTCAAGGTTGCACACATGCTTTGATGACAAGTATGACCATTTAGCGAAATGTATGGCGAGTTATATAAAGAGGTTTCTTCTACCTCTCCGAGATGATTCAACATAGACGTTAGATTACAGACTGGAATTTGTGTGTTGCATAAAGAGCTTGATGATACTATGACAAATGCAACGATGTATCTCGAATTTTGTATTTTACTCTTACAGTTCCACACTATCTGAAGACTGTTATTTCAAGCAGACAGATTACCATTGTGGTGGTGTGACACAGACAATCGATTCCAACAGAATATTATTCTCACTGTAAGAATCACTGTATTTGTTGGTGTTAACGTCTGAATACTATTCCAACAGTTCAGTACTGCGTTAGCAACAGAATACTATGTATGTATTTGAACATTCTATTACATGTAGTTTTATGTAAACTGACACATGCTCAGTGATTGGTCAAATAATATAAACTGTATAAGTACAAATATGCCCAAGTGGTAAAGTGGATAACGCTTCGGCGTTTGAAACTAAGGGCACTGGGTTCGAGCCTCGGTGGGAACATCATCACTCACTGGGAAATGCAGGTACATCCAGTGACGAGTCCCGAATAGGACGAAATGAGCATAGTGCGTCGGTGGTACAGCGGTTAGGACGCTCGCCGACCATGCACATGGTCCGGGATTCGATCCCTGGCCGACGGACTCATTTACCTCGCTAAGCCAGAAATAATCCTGGTAAAGAGGAAAGGTTGGGCATGATACTAGCAACCCCATCCTGTAAAAATAAACATCCCTGCTACAGAAACTTCAAGCCACTAACTTGAAGCCCTATGTTTCACTGGAAACGTGAAGGGAAAAAAGTATAAATATCTGTTTGACCACTTGAAAATATACGTTTGCTTCCGTGTCCTACCTTCTGTTGTTACAGCATTACTATGGTGTCCGTTGGCGTAAAAAGATTAAACTACGACCCAACCTTAGGATTTCTTTCTATTTAGTACTTTATTGTATGATAGCACTGTAGGCTGTATTCACTTTCATAAAGGGCGTCACATCTCATATAGTTTTATAAGACAATATAAGACCAGAATACCCGTTTCCCACATTGATTAGTGAGCCAGCTCCCGTTTTCATGCTATTCGTTATCAGCAAATAATTTGGTGCAGTCAGTTTTCTACAAGTTAACTAGAAAACTGCATATCAAGCTGAGCATTGACTAGTAGACGGGAGACTCTCTTGAAAGTGTTAGTGTTTGCCTGTATAGACTTTATGAAGAAACCCTTAATCGGTTTCAGAAGGATGCATGGGTATTTTGAACTGGAAAAGAAAAATTATTACAATTTACCATCCTTATAGGTAGAATAGGAATTAATGTCCTCTTGGCGTATGGTTTTATCCGTAAGATAGATATTCAAAACTTTGTATGTACATAAACTTTTTAAGAAAGAATAACCCACCTTCGACGAAAAGACAATGTCTCGTGCATATAAACTCCACTGGGTTGTTAACATGAAGTTATTTTATTTGGGAGCGACAAAAACTGGAACACAGGACGGGTATTTTGTTCTGTCTGGGAATTGTCAGCTATAACATAATTACTCAAAAAGGAAATACAGAATCAACCTAAAAACTAACCCCAGTGGCTGCATACTGTTGAGAAGCCCCAGATTAGGACGAAACAGATATCCAGTACCCCCAGGTTTTCCAATGGTTCTCTAACCAATGTCAACTCATGATAGTGGCTAATCATATCCCTGCTAACCGACACCTGAATACAAATAAGTTGCATTCAGCCTAGCCTGAAACAAGTAGTTGCTGATTCACTGACAGAAAACTTCTACATTCATGAACTGCTGCGGTAGACTGGATATTCGCACAAATAATAATGGTTCAGGAGCCACAGAATGACGATCCAGTGACCTTCGACAAATCTCTCATAGTTTTGGTTTGTAAGAGTTAGTTATGTTTTTACGAGTTGATCACGGGTTGATACCAGTTAGAGAACCATTGAAAACCAGGGAGTACTGGACAGCTGCTATTTCATCCTAGTTTGGGAATCATCGGCAGTACGCACCCACTGGAATTCGAACCCACGACCTTCCGGTTACAAGGCAGTGGGTGCGTACTGCCGATGATTCTCAAACTAGGATAAAACAGCAGCTCTCCAGTACTCCCTGGTTTTCAATAGTTCTCTAACTGATATCAATCCTCTATCAACTCGTAAAAATCTCTCATAACTATTTTTAACGTATGTAAAATTGGACATTTGTTGAACACGTTGGTTATGATCATGTCTTTACCGAAATTTCCAACATATCACCTTCATATACGTCATTCAGATAGTTTGGGGGAGAAGTTGTGGGGAGTTATAAAATTAGGTTAGAGCCACTTATTATATAAGATGAATTGGGTGGAGTGTCAAAGTTTAAATAAACGCAATAAATCTAAGTAGCTAATTTGGTGGTGGCTAGCAGTAGAACCTAGGACATGAGTTTTTCCTGTTTAATACTCACCATATGGACAGTGTCCTCATCGTAACTCAAATCCAACTTCCAAACGGTCATCCTTTAAGCCAAGAGAGACATCTCTTTGAAACTGTTTTTTTTTCAATTTCCCCTGGATTAACTTCCTGCTACTTAGACAGGATATGAGTACATCCTGTTGAAGAGTCTCATACAGAACGAAAGGCGTGTCTTGAACTCTACCACTGACCAATAACAACCAAATAACTTCGTTTTAATCTCGTGTCATCATCGTAACTTACACACTAGAGACTGACAATGTGATAATTACCAAAAATAATAAGTACATACTGAATTCGATTTACGTTTTGCACCTTATTACTTTAGCTACTTATTAGTAGTTAAGGTGACAATGCACAAATATTCAACCTAACTATTCTGGATAGTTGTTGGTGGGGCAAAGTTGGCTGGATTCAGATTGACAGACAAGTATTAATGTAATGGGTTAAAAATACACTGAGAGTGAAATGAAAGTCTTGTTTGCGGTAAGTTTGAAACCAACCGCCTCCTAATCACTAGCCCAGCAGTGTATTCGATGAAATGTCATACCTAGATGTTATATATGTACACATCATAGTGCAATCATCACGGGTTACAAACATATGTTATGATCGTAGTAACTAGGTCGGCATAATTTTTGTCCATTAAAGATTAACAGTTCACTAACAGTTCATTCAAGAATACTCATTCATGAGCAGTTACCAGTTAAAAGAAATTCAAATAACTATTTTCAGTATATAAATAAAATAATCGTTTGAAACTCACACCTAAGGTTAATCGAAATATCTCACTCACAGGATTTTCAATTCTCCTAGTATTTATATTATTATTTAACAAAATAGGATTTTCAAGTATTGGTTTTTGTAGGGATTTAGTTTGTTGAAATCCTTCAACGAAAATTCGATTTGTTCACAATTCTGTTTAGACTTTTGGTTATCCAAAAAGACAATACCTTTCAAATGACAATGTTAGATAATATAGGGGATGTTGTTTCGAAAGTTTAATTCCCGGAAGATATTTTGCGCTTGTACAATCTAAGGGTAAATGTGGTACGCTTTAAAAAATTTGGAACAAACAAATACCATATCTTGACAGTGCTAGACACCAATTACACAAGTATACTTACACCGGAAGTTTTCGACTATTCCTACCACATCTCTTATTAATAGCTACTGTCAAGGCATCTTCAGTGAAAAATATGAGTGATAATGATAAGCAAGTGCGTTCTG